GTAATATACTGTTAGTTTGTTAAGACGATTAAAACATAGTTCAAATAATTACGGTTATGGTTGGATTCAATATGCAGTATATGGTTGGATAGATATTTCTTTTAAATAAATAAAAAAAAAATTTACATTTTATTTGTATTCAATTAAATTTACCCTTAATATGCATTATAAACAGATATGAAAGGCTAAATATATAAAGGAGATAAATAAAACAAACAACAATAGAAAGTATTGAAATATTTTTGGAAGTTAAATGCTATGTGTTTGACCCCAAGATATTAATGTTAATATTTATTAAAAATAATTTTTATCCAAGATATAGTGTTATTGACAAATATGAAAGAACTCTTTATGACTTTATGGTAAGAAAATATAGAAAAATCGTACAAAATATCAAATGTTTTGGAAAATAATAATAGGATTTATGATCAGTTCTAAAATTAATTTTTCTATAAATATGGCTTATTCAAGATTTAAAAAAAAAACTGAAAATTTTTCTTCAATAGATTACTTTTACACCAGAAATAGAAGAAGATAATGGGTTTCACAAAAATCTTAGTAACTTTTTTTCTTGTAGTTATATTGGTTGTTTCGTTGTCTCCCAAAAACGCTGTAACATCAGGTATTTTTTTGTACATAATAATTATTGCAATTAGTTAGCTTTGATCATAAACAATTTTAAATGCAATATACAATATGGAGAATATTAACAAAGAATATGAGTTTTTGAAAATGTAATTTGGCATGCTGTAATTATATATATATATATATATAGATTATTGTAGAATTTTTGTATGTACATGTGCAGAGATCAAACCAACGATCAATGGCCTAGCATGCAATTTCAAATGTACGGGTTTATATGATAATTATAAATGCAGCGTGGATTGCATAACATCAGGGTACACAACTGGAGGTTGTCGTACTTTGTATCCTTCTCAACCTCCATATTGCTGTTGTTATAAATTAAAATTGATGATCCCTTAATTTGCTATGTCTTACTATAATTATGATAAACATGTGGTTTCTCTTGCCATGGAATAAAAACCATCTTTCAATCATATTTCTTTTTTAATCTAAACCACGATCACGACGTCCGATATCGTAAACATGAATATCAGTTTGGAAGATTGACTTCTACGCCAAATGTTATGTGATCCAATTTGAATTATCCAAGCTATAGTGATTTGATAATTACGATTTGGTTAATAACATTCGTGGATATAAAATTATTTTTTTATTAGGTTAAAAGAAATAAATTAAATTGTGGTATGTATGTAATTATTACTATAATGTTTGGTAGTGATGATATGCAAAATAATGCCAAAACTAAATTAAAATGTGAAAGTGCTTTAAAATGCTAGTTTTTCTTGATTTTAAGATCAAAACGAGATTTTTGATGCCATATTTCAATTCTCTTCTTAAAATTAATAGATAGTAATATGAAACCGATGAAAAATAAGTAAAAAAATCTGCTTGAGCTAAGATTGATTCATATTTTATTTTTTTTCAAATTTGTTAAGTTCTTTATTTTTAACACATGTTACCTTTAAGTTCATATAACAATTTGAGCCCTAAAATATTACTTACTTTAAATACAAAAATAGTTAAACATCCAATTCAAAAAAATGGGCATTATTTAAAATATATCATACCTAGAAAAGCGATCTAACACTATCATCACATACCTAATCTTTTTAGGAACAAAATCCACAAATTTTCTTTTCTGTAATGGAAGAAAAATGGAGCAGATTTTACTCAGCACAATTTAACAATTTATCTAATACTAGTGATATTCGCCTAAAAGACGTTGCTAAATCTCTGTTCTAAAAAGCTATCCATGCAACAATAAAGTAGATCGGGGACGCAATATCCTTTCTAATCGTAGTGGTTGCATTCTCATCAGAATCTCGGTTTTTTTATGTGTTCTCGCTATATATGATTCGAAACTGAATAGAAAGATTCCTCTTGATGTCTGTAACAGAAATTTTCGAAATAATTGTTGATTAATTCGTTTGACGCTAGATCACACATTCGAGCATGCGAGTTAGTGTCTGAAGATAAAATATGAAACATATTGTAATATATCACAAATATACTGTACTATTTATCCTTTGTTCTTGCTTGTTAAATGTAAATCTATCTAACATATTAGGTAGTGTAACGCCCCGGCCGCCATCTCTCTTAATGGGCCCCACGTCCTCTCTCGGTCCGTGGACCCACCATACGGTCGGTCCGCTATGTCTGGGAGGCTTTAAAGACTTGTTTATCGATCCTACAAATCACCACATGATCTTTCTCTGTGATTTGTCATCACTCACATAGTTCTGACAATCACTTTTCGGAAGGTCACCCATCCTGAAATTGCTCTAGCTCAAGCACCCTTAAATGTGGATTTCTCTCAAGACAGTTGACCGAAAAAATAAATGCACTTTGGTGACATAGGTGGCCAAATCAATTCTTTTAAACCTCTTCGCATGCACCACCACATTCTTGAAACCGGGGTGTTACAGGTAGAGTTTAGAAATATTAAGTAATTGGTAAAAGTATTGACTGGTACTATTGTTGATGAACATATAGGCTGGTCGACAATTGGGTGCCACAAAAAGCACATATATGAAATGTGAGAAGGTAACAATATAGTAATGTGTTGGTGACTTTGCAGTAAACTAATTTTACACTATCCACGAAGAATATACATATATAATGATTATGGTCTCTGTGTAGATGAACATGATAAAAATGTGATATTTTGTTTTCAGGGAGACTCGAATCCTAAAAAGGTGTTTTAGCACGTTCCCAAGTTTCACATATCACTACACCACAACTATGCTGGCAAAGTTGTTGGTTGTTGGTGATTTTGGAGTAAAATAATTTTACACTATCTACTAAAAATACATTATTATGGTCTCTTCTTTCTTTCTGGTTTTTTGATCAAAGATTATGGTCTCTTTGTGTAGATAGATGAACACGACAAAGAAAACATTTGCCCATCTCATCCCCAGGGCTTTCTCTGTCTCAATGAAAACACATGTGCTCACATTTTGTGGTCTTTAGAAATTTGACATTTTGTACCATTATGGGACCATTTCCAAATAATTTTCAAGACCCAAAATTGATAATAGTAATACACATTCATAATAACATGTGTCTTCTTTTCTTTTTTCTTTTTTTCTATTTGTTTTTTTTTTTGCTATTTTACATGTGTATTCTTACGATTTTTTTCACTAAAATTGTTATCAATTTTCTTTTCTTTTTTGGTCAAACAAGTTTTACCTATTTTTTCTTTTGTTTTTTTTCATTGTTTTGGTTTTTCAATTTATTACTCAAAATTGATAATACAAATACTAACACGTGTCTCTTAAAAACAAATTTCACTAAAATTGTTACATATATATATATATATATATTTTGGGTCAAATAATTGTTACCTATTGTATGTCCTAATTATTTCTTCTTCTTTTTTCATTTCTTTTTTCTTATTGTTAAGATATTTGTTACCTAGTTTCTTTTTCTTTTCTTGGTCAAACAATTTTTATTCTAAAATTTTCCCATTTTTGTTTTTTCAATTTATTACATCAAGATCCAAAGTACACATAAGCTTGTCTCGTACGTCTCCTGCAGCTCCAAAGTCTTCTCTTGGCTTCTAGGGGCTTCTGGACCTGTCACAGAAGATTTCATACCTTGGGGAGTAGTTCGTTCAAGACTCATTTGGGTGAAAGCTTCAGCAAGCTCTCCTTCGGCTATTGGATCATATCCGGTTTGGGGTGCTACGGACCAGTTTACTTCCTCCAGCTCTAAGGAGCTTAGAATGTCTTGCACAGCTAAGTTGAACCTTTTCTTGAGTTGTTTAGACCTTGAACGTATCATGGGACCTTCTCGGACTTCTGGTACAGGATGTAGTGCAGGATGTAGTTCAGGATGTAGTTCAGGATGTAGTTCAGCAGTTTGGTTAAAGTCGATGTCCGCATCAAACCGAAAAGAAAAAAATATTATTTTGTGGTAAAAAATGATTTTGAAAAAGAAAATATAAATTTTGCTATATTACCAAAATTTGATTAACAAAATATACATTTTTCAGATACATATTATATATTTATATTTGGTCTATACTTTCAGTTACATATTATATATTTATATCAAAGATAGATTTTGTTTTTTAAAAGAAAACCGACCATTGAATTTATAAAAAAAAATTATTGCTAAAAAGAAAAGGTATATTTTGCTATATGACCAAAATTTTATAAGATAATATAGCACAAAATATTTTTGGGTTTTATTTTGTTAATAAACTTTTGGTAATATAACAAAATATACATTTTTCTTTTGGCAATCATTTTTTTACCAAAAAATAATATTTTTCTTCTCGGTTGTTCGTCGTTGAATACCACAAAAAATAAATTCCAAAAGAAAAATGTATATTTTGTTAATAAAATTGTGGTTATATTTAGTTATATTACAAAAATATATACCAAAATTTTGTTGTATTTTTTTTTTGTGGTATATTTTGTTATATTTAACTTTGGTATATTTTGTTATATTTTAAAGTAAAATTATGTAATAATTGTTTTAATTTTTTTATCAAAAAAAATTAAAAAAAAAATTATTTTTTTGAAAATATTTTTGGTCAACGCCGGTTAACATCGGTCAACGCCGGTCAATGCCGGATGTCGGCAACCAAATCACTGGAATTGGATGGTTATGGTGTTTGCAACATGACTTATGTTAGTTCAGGGATGTCCGTATGTAATGTCAATACTTCGTGTAGCTAACGAAACATTTTTAAAGTCTGCATGTGTGACTATGTGATGGCGTCACTTTCGTGTAGCTGGCAAACATTTTTCCAAAAAAAAAAAAAGTCCAACATATGTTTGATCGTGTTATGTTTTTTTTTGTTTCTTTTCCAACAAAAATTTCATTAATTCCACAATTATACGGACAGACGCAAACTCAATCTCTATCCACCACAAAGCTCTGATCAAAGTCTCAGAAACCAATTCATGGGATTTCAATGGCGAATTCTCTTCTCCTCCTCTTAATCCTTCTCCGATCACCAATCACCGGCCTCCACCTTCTTCTCATCTTTCTTCACTCTCTTTTATAACTCTCTGTTCCTTCAAATTTTCCCGAATCTTCTTCTTCAACTAGAAGCAGATCTAGTGATCTCTTTAATGGCGTCAGTGTTCTTGTATCACGTAGTGGGAGATTTAACTGTAGGAAAGCCAGAGATGGTTGAGTTCTACGAAACAGAGACGGTGGAATCTGCAATTAGAGCCATCGGAGAGTCGACGGAGTGTGGGATTCCGGTTTGGAGGAAGAGATCGACGCCGAATCTTCCTGGGTTTGTGGAGAATAGTGAGATGAGACAACAAAGATTCGTTGGGATTTTGAATTCTTTAGATATTGTTGCGTTTTTGGCTAAGAGTGAGTGTTTGCAAGAAGAAAAAGCTATGAAGATTCCTGTCTCTGAGGTTGTTTCTCCTGACAATACTCTGCTTAAACAGGTTGATCCTGGGACTAGGTACTGTGACTTTGTCTTTAAGTTCGATTTATGTCATAAAGGAGCTGACTTTGAGTTACTGTTGTTTAGTTTGATTCTGTTTGGTGTGTCTGAGACTAGTTTGATTTTTAGTTGGAACCATGTAGGATCTTGACTTTACCAAAAAGGGTCATAGCTTAAAGTAAGGTGGCAATATTATTTGATGTTGTTATTCTTTAGAGTCTAGTGTTTGGAGTCTTGTTTCTGTGGATTTAGTTGAATCCAAAGTTGATTACTTGAATAAGTGAGTTTTGTGCTAGTGGAGTTTCTTAGGACCTTCTAAAGATTGTACTTTCTAGGACCCTTACTTCGATTTTTGAGATTACGGGTCCAAAGGGTACTTGAACTTCCTCAGTATAGGAAAAAAGAAGAAGAGATGGTCACTCGTTTCAACTTTCAAAACTAACTAAGATCCTTTTTTTTTTCCGTTTATTTGGTGTAATGATATATGATAATTGACTGAATCTTTTAGATCATTGATTTCATTTATTTCTCAGAACATGGTTGGATCTAATCAGAGATATTCTTACATTTAGGCCATGTGCTTCAATGCTTCATGTTCTAGTGGGACCTGATTTTCTTCATATTTTATTTATTTGATTAGATAAGATAGTAAGGTTCATGTCCTCGGGCCTCAAATTATCAACCTTGGTACTATACAATGTTTTCTTGTGCTCAGTGTTTAGGATCTTAGAGAATAGTTTATAATGTTCCAATCTCTTTTTGACTTCTTTTTTTTCCCTCAAACTTCCCTTAGACCTTAGTCAATGCTTCTTTTATGTCTGCAACTAACTTTGTAGTTGACTATGATAAAACTTTATGTTATCTAAATAATACAAAAGCATGACATGAATAGAGTTTTGTCTTAGATCCTGTGATGTTAAGCATTTCACTAGATAAAAAGGATGTACTTTGCTTTAGTCTCTTACAAAAAGTCTCTTACAAAAAGATTCTACAGATTTTTTTGAAATGCTGTTTATATCCAAGATACAGTGTTCCCTGCCTTTATCTGCATCTTTGTTCTTTCTTGCTCATACGTATTGACCAAGTAGGATCTGCCACATTTCTTGAGCATGCAGAAACTTTTTGGTTGGTCGAGTGAAATGCTCCCTTGTCCAAAAACTGTTGCTTAAAAAATTCCTTTGTTGTGTCTGTTGATGGAATTAATTTTCTCGCATAATAACAGTTTTTCTTATGATGATGATTTTATTGTATCAAATATAATGCAAGGTTGATAGATGCTTTGGAAATGATGAAACAAGGAGTAAGACGACTTTTGGTTCCGAGAAGCGTTGTTTGGAGAGGTATGAGCAAGAGATTCTCCATTCTTTACAATGGAAAATGGCTGAAGAACAGTGAAAACTCTAGCAGTAGTAGTGGTCTCGCTGCTGACTCCACCAACAGGCCTACTACGTCCATGACTTCAAGCCGTGACAAGTTTTGTTGTCTCTCAAGGGAAGACGTGATCCGCTTCCTTATAGGTGTCCTTGGAGCACTAGCTCCTTTACCACTCACATCAATCTCTACTCTTGGAATCATCAATCAAAACTATAACTTCATTGAAGCCTCTCTTCCAGCCATTGAAGCCACTCGAAGGCCACCGTGTGACCCCAGTGCGATCGCCGTGTTGGAACAAACCGAAAACGAACAACAGTTCAAGATAATAGGAGAAATCTCAGCTTCAAAGCTTTGGAAATGTGATTATCTGGCTGCAGCTTGGGCTCTAGCTAATCTATATGCAGGACAATTTGTGATGGGAGTTGAGGACAACATGTCATCAAGATCATTCAGCGACTTCCTTCAAACTTCATTCCCAGGAGGAGAACAGAACGGAACAACAAAGGCCAAAAAATTCAGCAGCAGGAGCATCGGTTTTAATCCAACAAGTCCGACAAGATTAAGCATCGGTAGGAGCATGTACAGAGGAAGAAGTGCGCCGTTAACTTGCAAAACATCGAGCTCATTAGCTGCAGTTATGGCTCAGATGCTGTCTCACAGGGCCACACATGTTTGGGTCACAGAGGCTGACTCAGATGATGTTCTTGTTGGAGTTGTGGGCTATGGAGAAATCTTGACTGCTGTAACTAAACAACCTTCTGCTTTCGTTCCTTCGAATCGGTCTTATGAAGGTTTTGGCAATGAAAATCAAAGCTAAGACTACAATCAAAATGATCACATTTCTTTGGCTGTTATCGTGTGAGACGTTCTCAGGGTAGAAGGATACTATTTTTGGGTGTTTCATCAATTTGTGTACTATTGTGTACTAGTGTCAGCTCCAAGAAGCAAAGTTAAATTCTTTTGTGTCCTGTGAAAAAGTTGCTTTTGAGACGTTCTAAGGATTGAAGGATTTTATATTCTTGGGTATTCAGTCAATTTGTGTACTATTGAGTCTAGTGTCAGACTCCAAGAAGCAAAATTAAATCAATTTTTTTAAGAAAAGTTAATTGATTCATGGCAAATTGTGTGTTCTACAATGAGGACGAAACTGAGTGTATATAGGTTTGAAAATAGGCTCCTAACGTTCTAAAACGTATTAAACAAAGGCAACAAAATATTCAACATATTGAAAGATGAGACATAAACGAGATGTTGCTATTGAATCCAAACAAGGTAAGTTGGAGGAGGCTCCTTGTATTATATAACTTGAGCACGAATCCATGCGTCTATGGAAGTCTGTGATCGATGCACATAGAAGATCTCCAGTTCTTGTTTCTTCATAAAAGGAAGAGTTGTTGGGGTTTAAACTCCTTCAGTGCAAGCAGCTCCAAGTAAGGAAACTTGGGGAATTCTCTAGATTCGCCATAATTAGTTAGAAAGATTGCTGGAGCGTATCAGTAGGTTTAAGCAGATAAAGGTGGGTCATTGGTCATCGAAGCATGTGGCAGTCATTGTGTTAGACTCTATAGAACATTAAATAGGCCGTGTTCATTTCACTGTCGCTAGCGACTAAAAAATTAACACTGAGATTTTGATAGGTTTTAAATCCAGCGACCAATTAGCTTTGATAAAGACGATGAACAGTGACAAACGTGTCGTTCAAATTGGTCGCCAGAAAAAGTAGCGACACCAGCGACCGGTTAAAAAGTTGAGTTTGCTGAAGGATTGAGTTGAAGGTGTCGCTGGAGTAATAAGCAGAGAGAGAAAAACTGTGTAATTACGGTCGCCGAACCGTGTCGCTAGCGACAGTGAAAAGAACATGGCCATAGATGAAGTTTGTGTACTATTGGGTCTAGTGTCAGAGGCCAGGAAGCAAAATTAAATAATCTTTTGTCTAAAAGATAGTCAAAGCTGTTACTCATTCATTACAATGTGAAGTTGTGAACTCTCGTTCATGCTAGATTATCTCCTCCGCAATGTGTGGATTCTTTTCCAATGTAAAGTTATACATTTTGGATTTCGAATACATTTAGAGTTATGTATACTGTACTGACAAAAATCTTTTTTATGAGTTAACAGTATGTATACTTTAAATACTATGGAAAATTTGAGAGTTGTAATTGATTGGTTTAAAACTTTAAATAGTAGATTTTTATTTACGCAACAAGGTGTGGATTCTTGTGTCATATCAGCAATATTAATATTGTTTATTTTTTTATACGTTCAATATTTAAAATTAAAATTATAATTTTGAATATAAGTATTTATAATTTTTAACAATTACGTAGTAATAAATAATAATTATAGAGTGATTTTTCGACTACCAATTCAACCATGACACATGAAAATTTTTGTTTTATTATGAACAATGTTTCTGTTTCGTCTAACTTGGATAAGGTTACTGGATCTCTTATGTTTCCAACAAGCCCAAGAACAGAAGATTTACCCATCGGAGCACAAGGTTACGCCCCATTTCTCAAAGGAGGTCAAACTGGTTCTTTACTTGAAGAGTTTTAGGCCCAACTGCCTTAAGGACTTCCAGAATTATGTTTGGCAACCAGGAGATGTTTCTACTAAGCACAAGGTGACGAAATGAAGCAGCCCATCTTGTTTCTCATAAATAAGATTTGACCAAGGAGCCAACGAAGATTAAGGAATGCACTTAGTGGACTAATTCAAGAGCCTATGGCCAAGGAGAACATGATAAAGTCTATTGGGGATAACTATCAAGTCCAGCCCACTTTGAGCCTAATACAAGTTCAAGAAGGCCCAAAATAATGTCTCATTTTTGTGGTCAAAGAGGAGTGACGAAAATAGAGTTCAAGAGTCACTTTGTAGGAAGAGAGAACACCAAGGGTTGAATTTTCATTCAACTTTCTATCTTTAATTTCTTTTAGTTTTCAAGAATAATTATTACTTGGATTTGTCTCCAAGTTATCTAGTTTTTATAAACCTATGTAATCTCATTTGAGAAACAACCAACTTTTTTATAAAACTTTTTCTTTTTTGAGAGTGATTCTCATTTGTTCCTTGTGAACAAAACCGATTGCTTGGTGCGTCATATCCAAACAATCAAAACCCGACTCGTCTTGGTGTGTCATATCCAAGGAGTCACCGATCCGTCTTGGTGCGTCATATCCAAGGGATCAACCGGAATATCAAGAGTCTTCCGTAACTCTTGTGCGACCATTCGCTCCACCATCCTTGTTCTTTGTGGTTTCATCACCCTTTGAACCTAAGGAATATCCATCTACCAACTCTAGAGTGCCGAGTCCTTGGGAGGATCGTATCATTGAGGTAAAATATTATCATACCTCCGCAGCAAAGGCACAATCAAAGAAGAGTTGTTGTCTAGATTCATCGTGAGCATTACAAAGCACACATATAGAACGAACAAACATGCCCCAACTTATCAATCTGTCCCTCGTGTTCTGTCTATGACGAGCAGTAACCCATGCCATAAAAGCATGTTTTGGAATCCTTTCTTTGAACCAAGTAGCCTTAAACCAGTCCACATCTTCTCCATGGGGATTCAAGTGTTCCCAAGAAGAGGCTGAGGAGAAGCAACTAGAAGCCTCTTTCTCTCCAACCTTCCACAGAAAACAGTCATCATCAGCCTCTTCATGGACCTGTACCACAGAAGGAGACGGTAGGCACTCCTTCAATAATTGTATGATGGGATTTCTACACCTACTTCTAGAAATCCACCAATCACTTCCTCTTAAAGCATCTGCCACATGCCCACAGTTGCATTCCTTGGCAATCCTGAAATTCTAGGACCCAAATCTCCAGTGATATGCAACAGTGGCCCCAAAGCAGTCCAATTATCACTCCAAAAATTGCAAGTGATGCCAGAACCAAGTTTGCAAACAACGAAAGGCCTAGAAATAGGTCTGAGCTTGCAAAGGTTCTTCCAAATCCAGCTCCCTGAGTTAATTGTGACCATTTCCCAGAAGTTGTTCCGCCCCAACAAGTTCATCCTCACCCAAGATACCCATAAAGACCCTCCAGTAGTGAACAGGAGACAAATCAGCTTTAACCCCAGGACCTTGTTCCAAGGCTGCAGCTGTCTCAGTCCTAGACCTCTAGAAGACTTTGGAGTACACACAGACTCCCAGCTAACTCTAGCCCCGAGAGCAGAAAAAGGAGAACCGACTGGAGAACCGCGAGCAGAAAAAGCAGTAAATAGTTTTTTTTTTTGCCTTTTTTGCTTACCAAAATATTGATAGCCTTTAGTCCAAAATATCACACAATATACACTTTTTGTGGGTATTATTTACATATTTACATATGGTTACTACTTGATATCTAGATTGTTTTGACCTCACAAATAGTGAAAGCATTTAGTCCATGGACACAATATGCAAAACTTGTTTTGGAGTTGTAATTTGCATATTAGAGCATTTCCAATGCCAATCTCTAAATTTTTTTTATTTTAGAGGAACTCTATATTAGAGGAGATTTTGCTCCAATGTATTCCTCTAAACTAGAGTTTCTTCTAAAATAGAGGAAAGAGACATTGAATTGCTCTATATATAGAGGCATACATTGTCTCTCTCCTCTATTATAAAGGGATACATTGGAGTACGTACGAGCTTACAACAATTTCATGAGCATGACAATCTTTTGAACTAACGCCAATTACACACTACCAAGTGAAACCTTCACTCATTCACCTCCATTCCAAAATCTCTCATCCTCTTTTCTTCTTCTTTTTTTTTTTTTTTTTTTTTTTTTGTAAAACATCTCTCATTCTCTTCTTGTAAATGCTCCCTAGCAACACTTTCCTATCCGAATCTAGTAAAATATGTTTTGAGAAAAAAAAAAAAAAAGGAAAAATTCCCAAAAAAACCCCAACTATTTAATATTTGTCAGAAAAAAACTTGAACTTTTTTCGTTGCCGGAAAAAAACTCAAACTAATTTAATGCTAACAAAACAAACACAAACTATTTTTTTCTTCCAATTTCCTCTTGTCTCCGTTACGGCCGTTAACGCCATTACTATTTTTGGAAAAATTCCTTAAAAAAACGTAAGTTATTTACGTTTGCCAGAAAAATACATGAGTTATATTTTGTTGCCAGAAAAATACACAGATCAACATTTTTCTCCTCTTCTTTTATTTCATTAACAATATAAGGTGGTTAGACCTCATAACTTTATGTGTTCTCTTGAACCTCATGCAAGTTCTCATTACTATTACATTAATCGATTTTTTAATTTTCTAATTAGAACAAAACTCACAATTACATTAGTTGATTCCCCAATTTCTTAACTAGAACAAAAAATACAATTAGATTAGTCATTTTTTTTAGCGGAGTTGGTTTGCTCAAGCTAGCTTTAGCTTCAATTTTGGTGGATTTTGCTTGGTTTGAGTTTTTTTTTTTTCGATTTATCTAGAGAATTTTTGACGATCTACTAAGGTTTTTGGGGCTCTTATGAAATTTAGAGTTCCATTGTCGATGATGTTCTAAAATTTGTAAAGTCTAAATAGATCCAAAAACAAATCTAATTGAGAAATTTGAAAATCGACTTATCTAATTGTATATTTTTGTTCTTAAATTTAATTATCCTAAATCATATATATGAAAGTTGGCTAACTCTCTCCATATGAGTGACACATCATCACTTTAGCATTTGACATGTGTCCACTAATAATTAATGTAAGTTAGTGGAACATATATTATTTAATTATACAAATTATAAAAATTAACATATTTAATTGTATTAATACTAATTATATTTAATTTTTTTTTCTTCAATATAATTATTTTATTGGGGTTTCTCATACTCCGGAATTTTTTGAGTAGGTTATTCTCTTAAAAACTTTTCTATTTAATATATTAAAAATGGTGAGGAGAACGTCAGAGCCTCTAACATCAAATTATTGGACTAAAATCCTCGTGATGAAGTTCTTCAGTGATGGATTCGTATTGTTTTATTTGTTTTTGCAAAAGTGGCAACGATAAAAATTTAAAGACGAAAATTATTTTACATTTATGTTTCGACAAATCAATATGGCTTATCAAGGTTGGGTTCTATTTGTTTATTTGCTAAAAACTAATAACATCGTTGTTCAAACGAAACAACAGCCCAATTATCAATGCTTAACATTTGTACCTAAATACCATGATCATTGATTTTAGTGCAGGTACTCCAATCTTCTTTGCATTTTGTCTTTTTCTTTTGGTTTAAGGATAACAGCAATGAAAGAATATTATAAAAAGATAATGTGTAGTGAGAACAGTTTTTATTAGGAATCTAAATGTAAATGCAAAAAAAAAAAGTAGATTTATATGCTTAGTATCAGGGTAATCTCATTTATAAGGAAAATTTTGTCTTCTTGACTATTAACAAAAACTAACCTAATGTTTATATTTATATACTTATTGTTGGGGTCGGATTTCACCCATCTTCTGAGACCGAGCCAAACTTGAAACATTCTGAGCTAACCTATTAATCAGCTCGGGACAGTCTTCGATCAGCTCGGGTACCTTACCTTACTGGCCGGCTCGGGTACCCTGCCAGCCAGCCCGGGTACCCGAGCCCATTCATACGGGCAACCGAGCCCGTTCATACGGGTACCCGAGCCCGTTCAAATGGGTATCCGAGCCCGATCATACGAGTACCCGAGCCCTCTAAGTACATCGGCTCGGGTTACGTATCACGTCGTCTCCCCGAGCTGAATACACCAAGAAGCTTCCAGATTATCCGAGGCGAAGTCATCAATCACCCGAGGCAAGGACTTAGTAAAATATTCACCTTCAAAGTACCATTTCTAAGCAAGGCATCATTTCTAGAAATGAAGGATCATTTCCGAAATACCCGGAAATGATAAGGGAGAATCTCGTAGGATCAACTCAAATCAGGAAAACTTCCGAAAACCCCGAAGAATAAGGAAACTATCCTAATCCGCGATATTCTAAGCCGACTTCAAGAAAATGGAAATCTTCCGAGAATACCGCTGGAGAGGCGGTTTATTATCCTTATATAAAGAGACTCAAGACTCTCGCAGAAAGGCCAAGAAATAGCGCTCTAGAATTTAGACTACACAAAGCTCTTAAGCAAAAACACTTTTCTTTTACGATCTAACTCTTTGTACGATCAAAGCTATATTTTTCATCAATAATATCAAGAACACCATCTTTGGTTACAATTCTTTCTATTGTTCTATGAGAATTCTTGCAAATCGTATCCCTAAAATAAAACCCTAGACAAATCTCGATTGTGTTAGTTCCGACTTCCACACTTATAATTATGAAATATAAAGTGAAAGCCCGCACGTAGTGCGGGTACTCATCTAGTAATAGTAAAAACTGAAAACTTGTATGAGCTTCAAGAGAAAACATAAAGTTATTAGCTCTCACCACCTTACATCCCATTGTTGATGGAAGACAAAAAGAGAAGAAAAATGTTTATCTGCGTATTTTTCTGACAACAAACAAATAATTCGGGTAGTTTTTTGGTAAAATTAAATAACTTGGGTTTTTTCCAAGAATTTTCATAAGAAATAGTAACGGCGTCAACGACGGCGTTAACGCCCGTAACGGAGACGAGAGGAAATTGGAAAAAAAAATAGTTTGTATTTGTTTTGCCAGCAGTAAATTAGTTTGAGTTATTTTCCGGTAACAAAAAAAGTTTAGTGTTTTTTTGGCAAATATTAAATAGTTGGGGGTTTTTTGGTTATTTTCCGGAAAAAAAATCTGTGAAAAATGTTTTTTCTCTGAGCAAAACGACGTAGGATAAGAGAAACAAAAAAAAATCGGAACAACATCCGAGTTGCCCTCAGAGACCACAAACATCCTCCAATAAGCAAAAAGCGAAGACGAGAGAAGGAGAAGAGACGAAATCGCCATTGAAATGGCTCTCAAAGCTTCACCAGTTGCCGGATTATTCCCTCCTCTCCGTCCTACTGCTTCTTCTAATCGGCCTTGTTCCCTCAGGGTTCTCCCCCTCAGACCATCCTTCTTCGGCAACTCCAGTGCGTCTTCTTCTTCTCTAATTCGCTTTAGGGTTTCGCTTTCTCTTCCTTTGATTAGGGTTGCTCATTACTTGAATTGCTCGGAAGAAAATAGGCAGCTATCTACAATTTGCTTGAAAAAATCTGTGAAGAGAATGAACCCAAGAAAAATTCGGTATTGATCGTCTTTGATTGCAGCTATCTAGATTTTACCCGAAAAAACTGTGAAGGTGATTTTTCAGAGAATGAACGAAGTGAAATTGGGTATTGATCGTGCTTTTTAGTGAATGATTTGTAGATTTTTTGTTTCTTGATTTAGTAACTACGAAATTTAGAGATAAATAGGGTCTCTCATGCTTCCATATACTCTTTGGGGTGACCTTGTGTTAAAATGCACGGCATGGTCTTATTCTCAGTCATTTTCTATAACTTTAGTATGCTTTGACTGTTTCACATGTCTAAAATTTAGTGCTCTTTCTTTTTAGCTATGTAACATATGTTGTTGGTTTGATATTTCCATGAACTTATTGTTAGACTCAATAAGGATTATTGTTATTTTATACAAGGTGGGGCTCTGAGAGTGAATGTGCTGAGATTAGCTTGTGCTAATAGACTCAGGTGCAATGGTCATGGTCCTACAATGAGTCTTTTTTAACGAATTTCTAGAGTGGTCAAGGTACTTTTAACCTTTCTGATTCTGTATCTGGTAGTCATAATGCATTGGATTTCATTAATCAGTTCTCTTGTTTATTTTTCATTTCAATAAGCTAAGTCATATGCAAATGCGCTCATAAGCTCCTTCGAAGACCCTGAGAAAATCCTTGTGCAAAACTGTCATTGAAATGAATAGTGATTTGACAAAGATGCGTCAAGCCACTGCACAGGTACAGCCCTTAAACGACTAAAGTCTTTTGCTGTAGATTATATCTATCCATTCTCTTGTTCACCGGTTTTCTGTTTCTTAAGATTGCTTTTACTCCAAGAAATGAAAGAACCTAATCATTTGAAACGGAAATGAGAAAGAAAAAAAAATCTTTTAGATTTTGTATGATTTGATATTGTTAACAAAACTGATCATGAGTGAAAATATAAAATGACACAATATCTTTTAAGTACTTAAAAGGATATTGATTTAGTCAAACAATCTTGTTTCAAATACAAGGGTTAGTTTTCGCCATTTTTATCTATATATTTTTGACTTTCAATATACTGTTGGATTCCTTAGAGCAATGATTAAATGATCAGAAGCTCCCAACAACTTGTGGAAGAATTCCAACGGGTTCAAAAACTTTGTACAACTTGTGAAAACTCTCAATTTTAGAGTCAATGAAAATATTTAAAAAGAAGTGATGAGGCTTTATTTTTATGATATGATCCAATTAAAAAAATCATGTCTCTTCTTCTTCCTCCTGCGACCATTCTTTCTCTTCTACTTCTTACGGATCTCTTCCCACGTCTCTCATCCTATTTCAAAATTAATCAAAGATTGTTCAAAATAAAGTTTCATAGAAAAAACAATTTAGGTTTAGAGATGGGTTGGTGGTGGAGGAAGAGGAACAAGAAGCGAACGTTAAAGAGAGGAGCCAAGTTGTTAGAAGATCTCATCGAATGTTGCGATGGAAAATCCAATCCCATCAAATTCTTCTCTGCTGATGAGATCCGCAAAGTCACCAACAATTTCAGCGAGTCTAATCATGATTTCCGTTTAGATCTTCCCTTCTACTGGTATTCAGGTAAGAACAAGAACCATCCCATGATGCTCATCAAGAAAGATGTTGGCTTGTTGAATCTCTTGAGAGTAGATCTTTTGTGCCGCGACATAGCAGTTTCATCGATGGTGAGTGGTCACAAGAACTTTTTGAAATTGGTTGGATGTTGTCTTGAGTTTGAAGATCTAGTCATGGTTTATCATGGTGGTAAAAAACATTACAGATTAGAAATAAGTGAACAGACGTGGAAAAGGAGAATGAAGATAGCAGAAGATATCGCGACTGCTTTAGCTTACCTTCACACTGCGTTCCCAAGGCCCTTCGTATATAGGACTTTGAGTCATCAGAATATCTTATTGGATGAAGATGGGGTTGTGAAGCTGATTGATTTCTCTTACTGCGTCTCAATTCCACAAGGAGAAACATTTGTCCGTGTTGACAGATTATTGGGATTCTATAATTACGTGGACTATAAATACATAAATAGTGGCGTAGTCTCAGAGAAAACAGATGTCATTGCTATTGGAATTTTTATGGGTATATTCCTTCTGTTAGGAAGATGTAACGTTTTCGAGCATCGACGAGAAGAAGAAGAAAGTGAAGGTGTAGGTTATGATGCTGATAATGACAGTAAGAAAATAAGACGTGCTCGAAATTTGGTGTCAAAATTTAAGGAAGACCGACGAATCGAAGAGATTGCAGATCCAATGATGCTAGAAAAGATGGGTCAAATTTCAGAACAAGAGCTTTGTCAAATGAAAGCTTTCCGGATACTCTCACTGAGATGCATGGGTCTTAGTGGAGAACTTCCAACGATGGTGGAAGTGGCCAAAGAACTAAAGAAGATTCAAAGATCTCTTAATAACAACTCATCTTCTCCTTCAGGTGAAACCCATTTAGACTCTGCCCAAGACTCTTCTTCTCCTTCAGGTGAAACCATTTTCGACTCTGCCCAAGACTCTTCTTCTCCTTCAGGTGAAACCATTTTGGACTCTCCCCAAGACTCTTCTTCTCCTTTAGGTGAAACCATATTCGACTCTCCCCAAGACAGTTCTTCCCCAGTCCTCGTCTCAAACCAAACTTTAAACACAAATGCATTGCTACCAAGTATTGCCTGCCAGGTATTTCATGAAATGTTTCAATGGGTTATGCTGAGCTGGTTTCGTTTTTTCAGAAAAAATCGAAGAATGTGAATATAAGTTCGATTCTTGTTTGTAGTAAGACATTACTAAGCGCAAAGCTTTTCTTTTTCTTTTTGTCAGATCTGCCCTTACTGCTTGTGTTTGTCTGTTTTGGGTTTTGATCGATCCGTCTGTTTTCATTTATGTTGTCAAGAGATTTTATGATATGTATGTGAATCTCTCCAAATAGATAATATATACTGATGTTATATACAAGGGAAAATCTCCCAAGTTTGCAAGTTTCCAACTGAGTTGGAAAACGCCCTTCGAGCAAAGCGGAAAACATGGTTCATTGAACTGTGAACTCCACGACTGTTGGGTGGAATCGGGCCTCACTATAACCAAACATTCGTTCATCGGTGATAAGCACATCTGAAATAAAGTCAGATCATCATAACTCTAGTCGACAATATAGCAAGTTACGTTTCCAAATATGGGTGAGAGACCGAGAGGTTCATGAATTTAGTATAAATAATGTACTCCTCATCCGCACCAAACTTTCTCCACTGTTGGTTCTGTAAGTGCAAATGAGGTCAAATAAATTGCGGAAAGTAAACGAGACAAGAAATTTGTTAACGAGGTTCGGTTTTTCCTACTCCCCGGGACCACGTCCAGATTTCGATTTCACTAGAACAAGAAAGCAAATACAACCTATTCGCAAACGCGTAAATCAAGCACAACCCTCTTGATTCACCGCTCCGTTCTATTAACATGAAATCTTAAGGATAAATCTCTACCTTTAACTAAACTCTCATGAGCCTAGATTTAATCAGGATAACCTAACCCTGAGCTAAACTCCCCCTGAGTCTAGACTACAATTCTCCAAGTCTCTGGAACAACCACCACACACGAACCGTCACGCCAACGAACCCAACGATCACCAAGATTCTCCAATATGAACCGTCAACACCAACACACAAATAAGCTTGATCACACAAGCACTTAACCCGCGAAACTACGTCGCACACGATCACACACACAATCTCTCACATCGAATCTCTTTGGGATTTTTACTCTTGCCAATCCACATTCTCATAAGGTCACGTCCTCCTTATATAACAAACAGAAACTTGCGCCTCAAGTTCTTCCAATCACACATAAGAGAAAGTTTCCAAATCCCATAAAGAAAAGGTTTTCCTTTTTGCCAATTTCCTTTTCACATCAAGTAAACTTCCTACTTGCTTACATGATTCTTTTTGTCTTCAAACAAAGATATTTTCCTTTTCCAGACTTGACAAACACTCCAACATCCAATTACTCGAGTTCCTCATTAGCAATTATGCATCTCATCTTCCTGAATCACATCTTGTACTACTTTCTGTACTACTTCAACGACTAGTACAGAACACCAAAATAACTGCATCTTCAGGTTCATCATGGAACTGCTGTCATTCTATCTATTTTTTTTTTACTGTGTGGTAATCTCTAGTATTTTCTTGTTAGATAGTGAAGATTTGAAGTTTCTCATCTACTTTTGTAATCAGGATGTTAAGTTAATGAAATGAGTTTGACAACGAAGATTATAACATGAGCTCGATCAAATTAATACGACAAAATTATCAATAGTGTTGTTCTCCTCGTATCGTCTCATGGAGACTATTATCAGGTGCTTTTTTTTATCCCCTCATCTATGGCTTTGATACGAATTTATTTTCTTACTCTTTATTGCTAAGCTACAACCTTCTCAGCCCTGCACTCGGACACTATCTTATATAGTGTTAGCCATTTAATTTGCATCAAAATGTTTTGGTTTCTCCTTGGGATAGAAATTGTGAGTCTAGCCCTGGTTTCTTAGAAGTTTTTGGACGGAGTGGAGTGGTTTATGTTGTGTAAACTGATGATGCTTTTCATGCCCTCCAGGCGTTCAACGAATTCCCTCATTATTGGCTTGGCTTGTTTCTTAAAATTGTTTGGCGTTCTGTAATCTGATTTCTATTAGATATATATATCTCATTTGCTATTAGTATTACTAGATTTAAGAATATTCAGTAGGTTGTCTAATTAATTAACAAAGCTGCATTAAGTCATTGTTTTTTACTTGGTTATGTTTACTAAATCGAAAATTTACTTCTAAGGCTCAGATTTTGAAACCTCAATAAGCTCTAAATAGAATGGTGTTGTAAACCACATAACGGATGGACTCTATAACCGTGGCCCATGTCCATGTTCTAGAAGGCCCATGTCTAGCTTCTAGAAGACTCGCCCAACCGACCAAGGCCAAAGACGGTTTATGTTAGTCTTAGTGGGCTTTAGTGTTTCCTAGTCCAATTGGGATTTGTCTCCCCTATTGTGTAGATATATAAGTTGTAACCTCATTCATTAATCAATAAGAATACACGAGATTCATAACACGTTATCAGCACGACTTGCTCTTAACAAACCTAAAACCTAAACCTAAAAGTCGCCGACCTCCGCCGCCCCATTAAGGCTCGTCCGCCGGCCGTTCGCTTGCTCCTTGCTCGGCGATCTCTTACAAGGTCAATACGTTCGTGATAAGCTTAATAACCGAGGTTTTTAGCTCCCGGTTCTAGTCCATACAACCCCAAAGGTGAAAGGTAAAATCGCCAAACCTTTTAAGCTTAAAGGACCGACCATTGAACTTGAATCTAACGAACGGCTAAGACCTAAAACGAATGATGATTGTCTACGCGATTGTTATTTGCTTGGATGAACCAATTGCTTGACTCGTTTAAGTTGCTAGAGAAGTTTATATTGCTTAAATCAAACTCGCAAACTCGAAAACACTTAGCCATGGCCGAAACTTTTTAAAATCCTAAATCGAATTGGAAACCTAAAACCCTAAAATATAATCGATTGGTTGAGGTTGTTTAGGTTGTTAGATTGATTGTTTCTTTGATTGGTTACATGCATAAGTTGTTAGAAACCCTAAACTACAATCGCATAAACCCTAAAAACCTTAGAAAAGATAATCCTATTGTAAATAGGATAATCTTAAATCCTATTGTAAATA